GGGGTGGGCGCATCTGCGGAAGGAAAAGATGACGATCTACTCGCGCCTTCGTGTACTCGTGCATGTCTGTGTATGTGTCTGTGTCTGTGTGGCAGTGAGCCCTTGATCCACCAGCCGGCCGAGAGGCTCCACCTGCTGCCCATCGGATCGCCGCCAGGTCGGTCACACACCACATCCACACCATCATCGACCGACACACCCCTCCCTCCATCGTGGGTGTCTGGCGTCCGCTGTGTACTGTGCCCATTTGCAGCGCTGGCAGGTGTGCCGGACGACCAAGCGGGCGCGGCGCTGTTTGCGAGATACATCAAGCCCTTCTTCAGGGCAAACACCTGCAGACACCTCATCGAAGGTGAGTGGCTACACAGGCATCAGTGACAGACAGACAGACAGACAGACGGGCTTCGCGCGTGTGTGTGTGCGCGTGTGTTGCAGGTGAGACATTGGTATGTGACGACGTGAGGTTCAAGGTGGTGGCCCTGACCCCCCCACAGGGCTTCATCACCCGGGAAACGGTGGGTGCACTGAGCCAGGCAGCCAGCCAGCCGCTTTCAAATGGATTGTTGCTGCTCCTTCCCTTTGCCCATCACAGCGCATCCACATGGACGGCACGCCTCTGAGCTATTACGAGCTCGTGGAGTTCCAGCCAATCGACGTACGCCAGCAGGGCCACACAGAGCCAGATGATCAGATTGTGTGTGTTGCACACTTGCAGGAGTCGCTGCCTCCGGCGATGAGGGGCGAGCGATACAACGGGGACGCGCAGGACCAGGTGAGCACACGCACAGAGTCAGTCAGTAGGCGCGTGACATGCCAGGCTGTCACGGTCTCTTTCTCTCTCTCTCTCTCTTTCTCTCAGCTGTTCGAGCTGTACCTTCGGCCGCATTACGAGGGCAGGGAGTGCATCGTCAGAAACGGTCTGACACGCCCATGGCCGCACACACAACCACTCCGTCCGTCCGTCTGTCTGTGTGTGTGTTTGGCTGCCCTGCCAGGTGAGGAGATTGTGATCGACAAGGTCCGCTTCAAGCCCATCACTTTCCTCCCCAGACTCAACGGAATCGGTAAGGGCAGCCCAGCAAGCCAACGAGCCATTCCCTCTCTCTCCTTCCCTTCCGGGGGCCAATTGATAACTAACGTCGATGTGATGCGCGGTAACAGGTGTGGTGGGTGCCAACACGGCCATCACGTGTGCGCAGCACACCATGTCCGAAGAGGCTCTCCGGCAGCTGCAAATCAACGAAGATATGAGACTCGCCATGCAGCTGCAACAAAGAGAGGGTACGGTACCCTACCCTACACACACGCAACCCCCCACACCACACCCTTCTCTCATTTCCCCCATGGTGTGTACCTATGCATTGCTGCAGGCGGCTTGCGTGGTCTGCGCATGATGGGCCGTGGTCGTGGCGGCCCCCACCCGCCGGCAGAGTTCCCAGGTCTGGTGCGGCTGGGGTTCCCCGGCAGCTCCAGCGGCATCAGCGACATCGGCGCGTGGCTAAGGGGCACCATACAGGTGCACACACACACACACACTCAGGCAGAAAGGCATGCAGGGAAGGAGACAATTAATGGGGCCAAACGTATGTCTCTGCGCATCTGTCCTTGTGTGTGTGTGTGTGTGTGTCCAGCAAATGTATGAGACGTTGCCGCGTGACGACCCCCGGCGCGCCCGTCTGGCGCTGATACTCGAGGAGTTCCCGGACGACACCAACTTCGATATCGATGTACGGTACACACACACCATCTGACGCCTGTGATCGAAGTCGCCCCTGCCCACACGCGTGTGTGTGTGTGTGTGTGCGTGTGTGTGTGGTGCAGACTTTGCAGCGGTTCCGCGAGCGGCTGGAGTTCAGAGGGGCCTCTGAGCAGGACATTCAGAGGTGGGTGGGTGAAGACGATGATGCGACCAAGGCCATGGCATCTCTGTGTGTTTCTGTTTGGCAGGCGGACCATCACGTGGAATTTCGCCAAGCCTGCACACCCGCCTCCATCGGAAGACATCGAATCAGACGACCGGCTCACGTAAGGACAGCACACACACGCGCCCCCCCACCATCATTCACTCGGCTGTTGTTCTGTTCTGTCAGTTGTCGCATATGCCTGGCGCCATTTGAGAACGACGAGCTCATCCGCTGCCTCCCATGCTGTGAGAAAACACCTCACAACACACACGCGCCAGAAAGCAGTGCGACACACAAGCGGTCCTCCTTCCCTCTGTGTGGTGTGTTGTCTGTCTGGTCCGGTGTGTTGGGTCGGTCAGTCCACCGGTTTCACTCGACGTGTGCCACGAGCTGGCTGCGGCAAAGCAAGGTCTGCCCCATTTGCAAGATGGCCATCGACGCCAGCGGCACGTAAGCAAACCACACCACACCACACCACACCAGCACCCACCCTCATCATTGAGAGTGTGTGTGTGTGTGTGTGTGTTCCACAGTGACACCAATCCCTTCGGTGAGACCCCCGACCTCCTCGGCGCACCTGCACCTACAGCAGACCAGCAGCAGCAGCCAGCGGCACCATCAGCAGAAGAAGGAGACGAAGAGGAGGCCGATGCGTCCTCCGACGACCAAGCAGACTCGCCCCCCAGCTCAGCACCCCACCTCCCCTCGTCGAGCAGCGCCTCTCCCCCTCCCCCTGTCCCTCCGCCGCCACCCCCACCACCCGGCCTGCCGCCCACTCTGCCCGACCAGCAGCCATCTGCCGGTGGTGGTCGCCAGGCGCGCGTGCTGCCCGATGAAGAGGTGGCAGCCTTCTTTGGCGAGGAGCCGCCGGGCATGCCGGAGAGGCGGCGGCCGGCCAGGGGGAATGAGTTCCTCTGAGAGAGGAGTTGACTGACTGGGTGGTGCAGACAAACTACGGCATGAGTGGGCTTTGTTGGAATTAGAGGGTCCCCTCTGTTGGGTGGGTGGTAAAGCGGCTTGATATACATCGATCTGTGATTGTTACAGTGTACGACGTATCAGTTGGTGTGTGGCTGGCTGATCTTTCCTCTGGCGTGATCTGTGCACCAGAGGCTCTCCACGCTCATCCTTTCAGGTTTTTCCTCCTGGCTGGCTGTGCGTGGCGGGGTCGGGAGACGCAGATCAGGCCGGGAGAGAGAGAAAGCAACGGGCTGTAAGTAAGAGCGTGAGGCTGTATTGATCAGATCAGTGTGGTCTCCCTGACTGTGCGGCTTGTGCCCTTCATGCCTCCTCGCCGTCACCCACCGGCAGTGCAGATGACCGGTGGCACCGCCCGGCTGTCACGCCGGCTGTCACGCAGGCACCTGACCTGTCGGGTGGAGACGGCGAGGACACCAGGCTACGGGAAGGAACGCCATCGATGTCAGACGAACAGTGTCATGGTGTGGGGGGTATTTTTAACACATACATGTTACAGTACATTTATTTCGTCTTCGGGGCCACACAGAATTAAGCACAGGTGTTACAAAATCGTCGCGGCGATATCGTAACACTGTGCTTTAATTCGACGGCGTGAATGGCCATAGAAAGGAGAGTCCCGGCTGCAGACGGATGTCAACATGGCCGAGTGGTTCAAGGCGTCAGACTTAAGATCTGATGGAGCAATTCCGCATGGGTTCGAACCCCATTGTTGACACTTAGACCTAAAAACACTCAGGACCGTGCGGCAAGTGTTTTGACCCTTGTTGTGCCTCCCGCTGCTTGCTGTTTTGTTTGAGGCCTCCTCAGCCGAGGAAATGCGCATAGCCGATTCCCAGTCACACACAGAGAGGAGAAGAGGAGAAAGAGCAGACTGAATGCATGGCCATCCTCGCCTCACCTCCAGCAGCACATCTGTCGGGAGAGAGCAGCACCATCAGTTCATCAGCAGGTCGGGCGGTCGCAGCCACCATCACGGCGGGTCATCGTGCTCCATCCAGGACAACAACAGAAAGGAGGACATCTGGCTGGCGTATGGGGCGCTGATGAGTCTGTATGCCAGCCGACATCTGCTTGTTGATGATACGCATGACGTCGGTGAGTGAGAGAGAGAGATCGTGCGAATGGAGAGAGAGAACGGACAGAAGAGAGAGCTGCTTTGTGTGTGGTCTGTGCCTGCAGATACGATTGCATCCACAGTTGGCGTCGCGCTGGGCCTCTCTCTGAAGGTGGCGACCATCACGCCCGACACGCTGCCTGCCCACCTCTTCACCACCTACGCCAACCACCCCCTACCGCAGCCGTCCTCACGGCAGCTGGTGACCGCGTCGTCATCCGTCAGCCACCCGCAGGCATCGCCGGCAGCCAAGAGCGCCTTCGTCCTGCCGCACGTCCTCATCCTGCTCAGCATCCACGAGGCCTCGTTTGCCCTGCAACGGGCCCTCGTGTCCCTCATCCATGACAAGAAGCTGCGCGTCGCCACGGACCACCATCACCCGCACTATCGCGATTTCACGCTCCCGGAGCCCTTTCTGCTGGTGGGTGTGGTGCGCTTCCCGGGCCTGCTGCTGCCGCGGCTGCTGGATGAGTGTTTGGTGTGGGTGCGGGGCGGGGAGAGGGAGAGGGAGAAGGCTCGTCGGCTGCCTGACCTGGGCGTGTTGCGGCAAGACGATAGCGAGACCGTCAGCAAGATCAGAAGCGTCCATGTCAGGTAAGCACAAAGTAGGGAGGAAGAGATGGATGGATGGATAAATGGATAGATGGATGGATGGATGGATGGCGGTCGGTTCCGATTGTCGACGCTCTATCGTGTCGTGTTGATTGCAGCCTTGGGATAACTCAGTACATCCGTGACATTGTCAACCACCTCCTCGTGTCGCCTCTGGTGAGAGAGAGTGACTGACATGTATCCCGTGGCCAGGAGGGACTACAAGAAGGCGTCTACTTGCATGTGTGTGTGTGTGTGTGTGTGTGTCCGTCAGGCCCGTGGCGGTCCCCCCCTAGGCACTGTGCGAGCGCTGGAAGTCGCCTCACGGTGGGCACGCAGAGAGAGTGGCTGAACGGGACGCACAGTCCATGTGAGTGTATCTATCAACTGGTAGGATCGAGGCCTTCTGTCGTCGGAGCATCTGCGTCACGCCCACACACGTCAAGTCTGTGGTGAGAAAGACTGAAAGTCTTTCACAAGCCAACAGACTCTACCCTGAGGCTCCCACCTGAAGAGTGCTTTCATATGCAGGCGCCTCTGGTGCTGTCACATCGCATTCAGACCGTCCTCACCCAGCCGCCCACCGCGGCACAGCAAGACGACGGCATCACCACCAGCACCGACAAGAAGCCCTCGCGCCTGTTCCTACCCCGACAGCGGAGGGGCTCACACATCGCTGCGGCCAGAGAGCGGGAGAGCGAGCAGGAAGACTTTGATGGCGACGGCCATGGTGCTGCTGAGGTGGTGACGCATGTAGACGTGGCCAAGATGGCGCGAGTAGAGGGGGGTGAGGGCAGTGGCAGCTGGGTGGTTGACCCGAGTGAGGCGGTGCTGTGGACACTCAAGTGTGTGGCACCGCCGTGTTGATAGATGGATGGATGGACGGACGGATGGACGGGAGGGCGGGAGGGAAGGACATTGTATGTCTGCAAGTTGATCGGTCGATAGATCAGACTCTTTCTGTGTAAGTTAAAAGGTTGGCTGCATTGCATTCACTCACTGGCAGGGCAGTCGCAATACGTATGGATGGATGCGCATACGTACGGGCATACACACAGTCTCTCGACAGAAGACAAGACGAACGCAACGCAACGAAACAGTCGACATTCCATCATCCCCTTTGTTTGCCCCACTTCTCCCTCTACCCTCTACGCTCACCGCCGTCTGTCCGTCCGTCCGTCCGCCTGTCTGTGTATCATCTGTGTCTCCGTCCTTGTCCGGTGGGCTCGAGAAACTTTCCCCATCTCTCTAGGGACGACTCTCTAGTCCACACACACATGGGGCTGGGCTGCATGACCGTTAGCTAAACCGACAGGTAGGTGCAATGCTCGCCTTCTCCCATACAACGAAACGAAACGAAACGAAATGTGTCTGTATACCCACACACACGCGCGTAGACATCCACCAAGCACGACTAGTTATGGAAGCGCCATACACAAGCTACCGTCGATGGAGCCAGCAGACAGACAGGCAGGGAGGAAGATGTGATTTGTATCTTCCGTTGCTTGCCGCTGGTGGCTGGCTGGCAGGTAGGTAGCTCAGGTAGGGTCAGCACTGGAAGTAGAGTTCGTACTCCTTGGGGTGCGGGAGAGTCGCCACCGACAGATACTCGTTGCGCTTCCACTCTATGTACGCCTGCAGACAACCAACCAATCAGGAGAGAGACATAGGACATCGGACACACAGACAGAGACAGGGACAGAGGTGCGTAGGGGTTCAGCAGTTCACCTGGATGAAGTCCTCCGGGAACACGCCGCCAGCCGTCAGGAACTGATGGTCAGCCTCCAACGCGTCCTGACAGCATACCACATGTACTTGAACCGGGCGCGGCGCTCTGCCTCGCTGTGTGTGTCTTGTCTGCCTCACCAGTGTTTCGGTGAGGCTGCCCGGTGTGCTCTTGAGTCCCATTTTGGCCTTCTCTTCCTCGGAGAGCTCGTAGATATCGAAGTCACAAGGAGGGGGCGGCTCGATCTTGTTCTTGATGCCTGCATTGCAGACACACACCCAACCAACATACACACAGGGAGAGATTCTGCATCTTGACCGGCGTCCGGTCCGATGTGGGTACCCTACCGTCGATGCCGGCCAGCAGCATGGCCGCGAAGGCCAGGTATGGGCAGCAGGAGGGGTCGGGGCAGCGGAACTCCAAACGCTTCTGCTTCGGGTTGTCCGGCTTGTACATCGGGATGCGCACGGCGGCCGATCGGTTCCCCTGAGAGGCAAAGACAGACAGACAGACAGAGCATACAATCGGGCCACCAGAATGGACCAATGATGTGCGTGTGGTGCCTCCTCCGCTCTGGTTTGTCGTCACCTTGGACATGGCGAGGTTGACGGGAGCCTCGAAGCCCGGCACGAGACGCTTGTATGAGTTGACCGATGGGTTGGTGAAGGCCAGCACGGCGGGGGCATGCTTTAGCAGACCGCCGATGTAATGCAGGCACGTCTGGCTCAACTTGACATACCTATGGAGAGAGAGAGGGAGAGGGAGAGGGAGAGGGACACACTCATGCATTGCAATGGCGATTACATCCTGCGTGTCCTGTGTGACCGTGTGGATGTCTCTGTCTCTCGTCGGCTCGGCTCGGCTTACTTTCCGTTCTCATCGAAGAAGAGCGGCTTGCCGTCCTTCCAGAGGGACTGGTGGACGTGCATGCCGGTGCCGTTGTCGCCGAAGATGGGCTTGGGCATGAAGGTGGCCGTCTGGCCGTGCTTCCTCGCCACGTTCTTGATGACGTACTTGTATATCATCATCATGTCCGCGCACTCAAGCATGGGACGGCACGTGAAGCCCAACTCGCCCTGGCACGTGCTGACATATCAGACACAGACAGACAGACAGACACATACACACGCACACGCACACGCATACGCAGAAGGAAAGAGCCAGCCCTTTCCTGTCTCTCTCTGTGATGTGTTTGGGCTTTATTACGCGACTTCGTGGTGGTGTTTCTCGATGGGAACGCCGAGCTCCCCCATGGTGAGGAGCATCTCGCCTCGGACGTCCATGCCGGTGTCGATGGGCGGCACGGGGAAGTACCAGTTCTTGGGCGGCACACGGTGAGCCAGGTTGCCCCCTCCCTGCTTCTCAGAGGAGGGTTTGCCCGTGTTCCATGTGCCTTCAACGCCGTCGACTTCGAAGAACATTTTGTTGGGGCTGACGCCGTATTTCACGTGATCGAACAGAAAGAACTCAGCCTCGGGGCCAACCATCATCTGACAAGATAAAGTCAGCCCCAAGAGAATCAACCATGTGAGCGCTAGCCCCCCCCCCCCTTTCCGTCTGTGTCGGTTCCTGTGTTCTCCCTCTTTACCGTGTCGGCAATGCCCGTTTGTTTGAGGTATTCGACGGCCTTGACGGCCATCGAGCGGGGGTCACGGGCAAATGGCTTGCGGGGTGATGGGTCGTAGATGCTGCACGTCACGTGGAGCGTCTTCTTCTCAGCGAACGGGTCTATCCAGCACGTCGCGGGGTCTGAGAGAACGGAAGGA